CGTTTACATCAGAGACAAGCAGGAGGTCTCTTAGGATCTGAAATCTAGGACTTTTGACTGCTTGTGTATAGACTGAGAAATTCTCTCACGTGCAATTTTGATAAAGAATTTTATTAAAATCCTTCATTTTGCATCTACCCCCTACCTTGTCTACTAACTACTAAATCTACTCAGGAATTTAATTTTCATTTTCAAAGTCTCAAGAGGGTTAGAGCTCTTAAAATCATTTCAAAATATAGAAACTGCTCTTTTGTTTTTTTATTTTATTTTCCCCCAGGAATAAGTAGATCTGCAAAGAAGTGTTCCCAGTTGGTATCATAATCTAACATTCAAGACTGTACACTATCTGCTCCCAACAAACCTTGTCTATAGTCTGAACTACCCACTAATTATACCCAGGATAGACTACTGCATTCTCTCCTCACATTTTCTTTCTGCCTCTCTCCCCTCAATAAGCTGTCTCCCCTCTCCAAACCAGTGTTCAAGATCTACCTTTTCCATATTCCTTTCATTCCCCATCAAGCTCTCCTCTCCTTTCCTTACTCAGCCTGTGGTCCTTTATACCTTTGTCTAGTACTGTGCTTGCTATAACTGTAGGGTTCTCTGTAGTAGCTTGGTTGTTTGTTTGTTGTAACTAACTGCACTATCCTGAGATTCAGTTGACCCTGGGCCAACTTTTGGGAATAGCTGCACACTGAGGAAATTGCTCAAGTGAAGAAAACCGAAATTCAGAGATGTCACAAAATGTTACATTTAAGCATTTAAATTTCAGTCGAATAAACTACTTACTCATAGTCAGAACTTTATCAACAATTTTTAAGCAGATGTGTTTTATATTAAACAATCACAAGAAATTCTGAATATTATACTATCAAATGGAAGCTTTCATTATTTTACTCATATATATAGTATTGTATTTATAATATATTTCACTTAGATCTTTCATCTAGACTAAATATTTTATTAATAAATAAAACTACTAAAACAAGTTTTGTTTTATTTTCAGTAAAATTTTGACCTAGATATTTTTAAAACTATAAAAATAACTCTAAGCTTACTAAATCTAAACTATATAAATTTGCCCCTATTATTTTCTGTAAGTCTTTTTTAATCTCTTAATTTTAAACTTAAATTGTAACCAAGAAAGATTTAGAATTGCTGTTAAATGTACCTAAAGGCCTAGTACTCATTCTTTCATGAATGAAGTTGTTGGCATAACATTGGAAAGCAAAGGATCTGCACACATAGAATCCAGTGCAGTAGTTCCCCCTTATCCATTCAGATATACTTGAAGATCCCCAGAAGAAGCCTGAAATTATGACTAGTACCAAACTCCATATATACTATGCATTCTCCTACACATCCATACCTATTGTAACTTTATAAATGAGACATAATAAGAGATTAACAATAATGTTAGTAACAAAATAGAATAATTATAACAATATACTATAATGTTATTTAATAAATATGATTTGTTTACTTCTGGAATTTTCCCACTTAATGTTTTCAGAATGAAAGTGACTACAGGTAACTAAAACCATGAAAAGTGGAACCTGACATAAGGCAAGACTACTGTAGAGTTTAAATCAACCTAGTGAGCAGATGCAAGAATACTTAAACACAAAATTTTTCAGTTCTAAATTCTGATTGTCAAGAAATGTTAGAATTTAATCAAATGTAGCATGTTGTTCTTTGCATTTTTATTACCATCTTTATTTCAGCATAGAATATGTTTTTGGCCAAATTTCTTATTTGGAGAGTAAGGGAAAGGGAACAAAAATATGCACAATTACTGTTACAAAGACTAGCCAACAACCCATCCTGGCTTTTAGAATATATAATAAATCTCATCAACAAATAATAGTAACAACAATGTGCCTGATATATGCCACATACTAGTACAAATACTTAGTAGTGCACTAATACATTTAATCTTCACAACATCTCTTCGATGTAGGTATATACGAGATTCAAGATCATATAGATAGTAACTTGTTTTGCTACCTAACCACCATATTAGACAGCTTCTTCCTGCAACCAGTTGTTACAAACCAGGAAAATGTACAAGTCAATTCTCTCTTGCTCTAACACAACAAAACAGGCACTTTGGAGGCACTATTAGGCAGCATGCCCAGTTTGGGATTCTGAGGAAACAAGGGTTTTTTGTCTGCTTTGACCCACCTTCCTGCTATTTTCAGCAGGTATACTGATATGAAAGAATAGAGTGAAGCCCAACTGACCACCATCCAGCATCACTCTAGTTTCTCCCAATCCCTTTTCTTAGAGCCTGAAGTGACCTATTCCCCCAGCACTTCCATCATATGATGAATCACAGAATTTCAACATGACATAGACATTCAGATCCATTTTATTCAAAGGACTCCCCAAATGACCTAGTTAACATAAGGTACTCCCACACTTACTACTCTTTATTTCCAAAATGTTATCCCTATCTGTCAAAACCATCATCCATAATACTCATACTTAACTTAATTGCCCACACCTAGCCTAAAAATAGAGTAAATTGGTCACATCCCTATTTTTAAGCTGATTCCAGGGATCCCTGCTTCTGTTAATAGGCTCGGTAACACATAAAGCTATTTTATCAATTTATAATTTTAATTCCCTGTTATAACAAATTATGCATACTAAAAGAATTTGATGCAGTTGTCAGTGCCATCATAGAATGCATAATTATAAAGTTTGACCCAAAATTTTATTTTTAATACCAATACATTCATATGGGAAAGAGTTATGTATAACTCATCCTAGGATTCATCAGTTTATACACTAAAGTTAAAATTTATGTAGCATATACCTTTGAAGTCAATTCAAAATGTGCGCATAGTTTATTGTAGATATTTTTTCATAATCTTGAAAGCAAGAAATGACTTTTTTCTTTTTTATATTTGTCACAACCCTAAACACAGTACCATGCAAATGATTGGTTTTCTCACATTGTTTGCTGAATGAATAAGTACATGAACAAATGCTCATGAACAACTTATCTTTAGAAATTTTAAGATGTATGATGAAAAGCATGTGTAAATTAGTACAGAGGCACTTTTGTGAAAAGAAAATGACCAATCATTACTAGGCAGGTTTACAACCAATTTCCTCATTGAAAAGGTCAAGATCTTCTTGCTGCACAGGAAGAAAGGTTGGCATTACATTTAAATGTCTGCTACATTTTAACCAGACTTTACTTTTAATGTCTTTTGACATAGTAACAGAGAGAAATTTCTCTCTGATTTGTAACAGAAATGACAATTCTAAGATAGTGATTTTTCTCCTTGCAAAATTATTGATATATTCTCATTTAAGTGTTATTAAAAAGAACATTAACAAAAATCTTTATGGTTTGATTCTTTTAAAAGTTCATAAATACAAGGGAAAATAGCAGAATGCTGTGAAACCAATGCCTAGAGGAATCCCAAAGCAATGCCAAGAAACAGAATGTACTCATAGTGACTAATACATGCAAATACTGGAAATAAATTCTAACAGATTAAACAGGTTTTGTAGCAACTAAAAGGTATATTCAAATCATTCCAAAATTAATCAAGCTTAAGAATATGGCAATCTTCCCTACTAATAAGAATATAAGCTGGCTAAGTAGCCTGGATAACATATAAATTATAGCCAATATCAGTAGGCAGAATTTTTTCAATGTGTTTTTAATTAAAAAGGAGAAACTTAGCCCTTAACTGAATCAATTCACTGTTTGACTTTAACTACCATTCATTTTATTTAATACATCTTACCCTGATGAGGGATTAAATAATAATATGCTACAGAATCACAAAGGCAACACCATATTTCTACTGAGAAACTGCAACATTTTTTATCTCCTCCCAATCATTTAACATGGCATATCTAAAAAGTTATCTAACGCTGAGAAAGAAATGTACAATATTTTAAAAATCAAATGTAGTTCTTTCAAAATTGGAATGTCAAGCACAGGTAGTTTCTTACTCAAGAATATAATTTTGAGGATAGGTTGCAACAAATCAAAGTTAAATCTATTTTAACAAAATAGTTTGAAATAAATAGCAGAGTTTCAAGACAAAATATGTATATAAATCCATGCTGTGAAGATTCTCTACTCTTTGTACTTAACATGTTTAATGAAGTCAGGTTTTTTCCAGTTTGAAAATGAAAGTAAGCAAATGCTGAACCTCTCTGGGCCAAAATTTCTTCAACAAGCTTAAATGTTACAAGCTTTCTTTGTTGAAATCAATTAATTAAACAGATTTATAGTCTGCCTTCAGCTATAAGTAATGCCTTAGCAGAGATCAATATTAAAAGCAACAAAGCATCAGAACTTCAATAGATCTGAGAAATGGTTAAAACCTATGTCTTTTTAAAATATTTCAGATATTTTAATATAAATTTCAAGGAATTAGCTTATAGTCCAGAGGCAAGAAGCACAACTCTAGCCAGCAAACTTTTATTTCTGTGCTGCACATTACAATAGAAGCAGCATTAATTTCTATACTTAAGAAATTCTATATAACAAGAATTTTATAATATATCACCATATGTAAGCTGCTGCTGATATTCTTATCAGTTTGATCAATTTATGCTATTTTTATCACTTGAAACAAAACATGCAATTTGACTCTAATCAGATTTAATCTGGAAAAACCTAAAGAGCTCAAACCCTTGCTTTTAATCATACAAATAATCTCTTCCTTTACTGCCCATTTCCCCTAGAGACCAAAGTAACCATTAATATACACATTCTCCCTCTCTCTTTCTCTCTCTTTCACACACACACACACACACACACACACACACACACACACACACACACCATACTTCTACAATTCATGTTGTTCGGCTGCTGTTCATTACTATAGATTTTACTTGTTTAAATACCCAAAGGAAAATCTGATAATTAACAATTATGTTGAGTAATAAATTCTAAATTACTAAGAATAGAAAAACAATAACCCTACATTCAAATACTATCATCATAATTCACAAGGTCATACCTGGTGACTTAGAGATTGGAAAGGCTCACAGGTTCCAGAATGCATGACCTTTCTATTTCCAGAAACCCCTAAAAGATTGCATTTCCTGTCTTACAAAAGATAACTAGAGCCATCTCTCTCAGCATCTTCGGGGCTAGAGAAGAAAATATCAAACGGCAGATCTGTCCATCAGTATCTGTTTAAGCCAACATCAATAAATCAAATCTCATACACTGTTTATCGTCTCCCCTGCGCAGTTACACCCTGTACTAAGAAAGGCTGACACAGTTGTGTTTGCTGATGCTGCTAATGCTGTCTGAAAACAGTAAGCTTACTGCTTAGAGCAATTCTGCATCATCCAGAGAATCAGTCACATCCTTCAGGTTTCCCACTTCTGCTACTATACAGATTTCACTTGCCAAGAAGAGTTTGATTTTTTTCATCAGTCTTTTAAAAATAAGCAATGCTCTGTTTAATTAAGTATCCAATATGTCTGTTACAAATACCATGTTAAAATGTCAATTCTTAATTATTAGGTGGCTTTCTCCATACATGACTAAGCTTCAACATAATGATTTAGCAAGTAAAACTGTGCTTCCTTTTAAAGGAATCTTCCCTCCAAACCATGTATATTAACACACATCCAATCCATCAAAATTAGAAGAGCCTAAAATTGAAGAATTTTTATTCTGACAATCTTTGATGGTTGTATATAATCATAAATAGATAAATGTTTATTCACTTTTTGTATTTCAAGAACCTCATTTTCATTTCATATTCTTCCAGCCAACATGCTTCAAACAAAAATACTTTTTATGTTTTTATTTAAACTTTTTTCTAAAAAGCTTAATATACAAAATATAACATGCTATTACCAAATTCTAAAACTGCTTGATGAAATCAAGGAATGAAACCTATATAAAAGTCATTGGGAATTTTATTATGAATTGTCATTGTTTATAATATCAAGGTTCTAATAATGCTTTCTTTTACCACAACACAGCAAATTCGGGAAATTTTAAGATTGGCATAGTAGTCTGATAATAAAGAACCAATATTCTGAAGGTATAATTAGAAATGCTTTCCTGTTACCATGTGACAAAAGGCTGTATTTTAGAAATAAAACCCAAAACGGTTCAAATCAATTTAAATAAAATCAAAATTACTACATGAACTACAACTTCTTATCCCAAAACAGCTCTCAAATTATATACAGTCTGAATTAATGACTCTATGGAAAAAAACACCCAGAGATTGTAAGTTTTTGTTTATTTATATACCTGTGAAATAAACCAATTGAAATCTGATGATAGCAAAAATGTGCTATACAGAAAATGTTTTAGATAAATGTAGACAAATAATAAATCAGTAAATTTCCCTTCTCCCACTCATATTTGATGAGCACAATATGTATAATCATGCAGACTAGTTAAAATGAGCATTAAGAAATTAGGTTTCTTTAGTAACCTGATCCACACATGTTTTCGAGAAAGTACTGCCTCTATCTGCATAAGTTCAGACATAGGACTTGGTATTTTGACTGTATTGTATATATATGACACATTTGGATGAAAAACCATAGGCAAACTATGTTCATTCTTTTTGTATAGAAAATATTAAACATCATCTACAGTCAGATACTTTATGGATGCTAGGGATAGGTGCTGGGGACTCCTCAACAAACAATATAAAACTCATCTTCACAAAAAAGCAAATAAATAACTAACTATGTTTTGTTATGATAGAAGAATAAAAAGAAGAAATGAGAGCAATAGTAGGTCATCCTACCCTAATCTAGGGATCAAAAAGGATATTCCCAGGCAAGTACTGTTAAAATTGAGAAGATCCTGAGCAAGGCACATTCAAGAAATGATAAATACATGCTTAGGCCATAAAGTGTATGAACAGATGGGAGAGATGAGAAGCCAAGGACCAATTACAGGAAGCCTCAGGAGACACTAATATTTTGAGCTTTATTCTCAGGCGAATGAAAATCCACCAACATAATCAATTTTGTAATTTTAGATTATCCTGAATACACTGTGGCCAATCAATTAGCCAATCAATTGAGTAAAACAAAACTAGAGTAAGTTAAGAGTAAGGATGAGGGTCTAAATCAAAGGGGTGGCAGCAGGCAGAAAGAGAAATTCATAGATTCCAGATATATGTTTTGGTAAGCAAGAATAGAATTTCAAGACTGATATGAGAAATGAGACAAAGAGAAATGTCAAATTTCATTCCTAATCTCCTATGCTATCACATATCTCATTTACAATCAGCATGCTTTCATCAGATCCTCTGGGTTTTGTTACTTATCCATTTCAAGTGCATATGTGTCCTTTTTATAAATTAGATGGAAAGACTTGAGGAGGAACATTTGGTTTACATTCCTTCTGTGTCCTCTCTAGTATGCATATCTTGAACAAAGTTGTTGAATGAATAAATAAATGAGAAGTAACAAAACTGAACTTTTTTCAGATATTTTGTCAGAACATAGGTACAAACTTGGGTTTTATCATTCTCTTAATGATACTAACTAGTGTATATTACCTAATTTCCTCAGTGTTTTCTTGCCAATACACTTATTGTTGTGTTCAATAAACCCATCAAACCTGGAGTGCGTAGAAGCTCTTAATCTATTATCTAGTTGATAAAATATTTTAATCAAAAATTATGTATTTATAATACATTATTAAACCCACTTAATAACAATTTAACATACGGCAATTAAAACTGTAAGAACCCTATTTTTTAGGCAGCTATTGCTCTGTTTAAAAAATTTATTCAGACAATATGCTACTCATACTGATGTTCTTAATGTTGATGATAGTGAAGCACGGTGCCTCTAACCTTCCCTGAGAGGTCTATCCAACATATATTTGATAGAAGGGATGAAGAGTAGACAACTTTGCAGAAGAATCCCCTTGTACTGAATGAAGAGAGATCCAAAAGGATGTGTTTCAGTCCATTTGGGCTGAAATAACAAAATTATAGAAATGGTGGCTATAAACAACAGAGATTCATTTCTCACAGTTCTGGAGGCTGGGAAGCCCAAGATCAAGATAGGTGCTGGCTGATTCGGGGACTAGTTAGGATTTTTTCTCACAATAACTTCACATGGTAGGAAAAAGAGGCAACACAACTCTCTGGGGCCTCTTTTACAAGTGTACTGATCCCATTCTAGAGGGAAGAGCCATGATTTTGGTGACCCATCATTATATTTATGATTGGTTCTCAACATATGAATGGGGAAGGAGTAAACATTCAGGCCAGAACAGAGCACAAAGCACAAATCCAGAGGGATTTTATTTACTGATTTGCTGAATGTCCAATATCCCAAAAAGGATCAATATCTTTTTTTAAACATTTATTTTAGTTGTAGGTGTACACAATGACCTTTATGTTATTTTTATGTGGTGCCGAGGATCAAACCCAGAGCCTCATATGTGCTAGGCATGAGCTTTACCACTGAGCCACAATCCCAGCCCAAGGATCAATATCTTAAAAACAGCAAGGATATCAGAATTATCACATCTAGCTCTTGATTTTCATGCCCAAGGTCAGTCAGTAGCAGTGCCAAGACTATAATTCAGAATTCCTGTTTTCTAGTTTCAAAGTTTTCTCCAATATAAATCATGGTCTTATAATTTTATTTTTGTAAAAATATACTGTATCTTCAGTGATTAAAATGCCATTCACTCTAATGTTGTTCCTATGTTTTGTTAGATTGAGAAATAGTAAATTATTCAGGAAAAAAAACTCACAAGATTTCTATATGAAAATTTATTTTGTCATAAAGCATTTAACCTTTATTTCATATAAAAGTAGTCTACTACAGAAATTATCTGAGATATTGTCTGAAAAAAGTAATCATTTTATTTTATATACTAATGCTTTTAGAAGTATAAATTAGGCCAGACATGATTGTGGAAAGCGATGATTTAAATTATGGCCTGATGCCCTTATGCCTGCATTGCACTGGGAACTGCCTGTGTCAAGTTGCAGGTCAAGATGTCCCAGTTGCTATGGTGACACTGGCTGAGGAAACTCTGCAAAGGATCAGAGTTGGTAGTTGAGGCCTTGAGTTCAGACACCAACTCCAGGAATAGGAATTCTGAACATATCAATATAACCCTAATGTCTCTCCAGTCCAGTGTCCTTCAGATTGCCTGCTTTGCTAAAACTTTCCCCAAAATAACCTTTGGATGAAACCATATACTAAACATGCTGAGTTAGCTATGGGTCAGTCAAATTCCATCAGAGTTTGGCTGCCCACCTTGCCCCACCTTTTTCTCTTTATGTGTGTCTGTCTGTCTTTTCTTCATCCCCCATGGCCCCTCATGCAGTATCTTTCCCTGAATTAATGGACAGGACTGAAAGCAGAGGTGAGATAGCCATGGCAGATGGCACCCGAACAGGGCACAGGAGAGGCCCAGACACACAATGGTGAACTCCTGTAATTCCAGCAACTCAGGATGCTTAGGCAGGAGGATCAAAAGCTGAAGGCCAGTCTTGGAACCTTAGTAAGACCCTGTCTCAAAGAAAACTAAATAAAAAGGGCCAGGGAAGTGTAGCTCAGTGGTAGAGCACCCTTGGGTTCAAACCCCAGTACAGGAAAAAAAAAGGAATGAAAAAGTGTAAATTAATTTAAATTTTCAAAGGAAGTTGGCAAAGTCTATCAAGATTCTTAAAAATATACAATCCTTTGCCTCAGAGTTCCAGTTTGGAAGATTTGTCTAAAGGTAATACTGCAGATTAAATATATGCACAAAGATGTTTAGTGCTATATTATTCAGGATATGCTTTTGTTTATTTGGCAGTCCTAGGGATTGAACCTAGGGCCTTGGGCATGCTAGACAAGTCCTCTACCATTGAGTTATACCCCCAGCCCAGTATTATATTATTCAGAAGAGAAAGATTAATTAATTATGGTGTATTAAAAAGCACAATTCCATGGGACACTGAATATTATAAATAAAAGATATTACTACCAAAGTAAAATATACTTCATAACAAAATAATAAATGAAAATCAAGTGTGTGTGTGTGTGTGTGTGTGTGTATGGAGTACAATATCAACTATGTAAA